AGTTTTCCCTTCATAAATACTATTCCAAAATTTTATAGAGGAAAGGAGAATCTCTCTCAAGATTGTAAATTTTATGTATAATCATTTCACAGTGTATAATCAAAATTCAAGGTGATAGATTCCACATTGACAACAAGACCATTACTATTAGGGTGTGTCTATCTACATAAATAAAGACTTTAAAACATCTACAATATGGTGCTTGCATTGAAAACAAAATCATTACATGGTTAGAATCTTTATGAAGGTGGCAGAATGATGGATTGAGGTTTGATTTTGATACTTTTTTTTTTGAATCTTCTGTTTGGGAATCAGTACGGATCAAATTAATTTGCAAACTAAATTCACTTTGCTGATGAAAAAATCCATTATCTTTTAGGAAATTTAAATGAAAATAACATAAATCAAGTAAAAAATCTGGGGACCAAAGAAAATTTTAACCCAAATTTTTCCATATGCATATGAACTGCTATAACCTTCCAGATTTCCTGGTTATCTGACAGGGCATGAAACACTCATACAAGCTTCAGTTCTCCTCCATCCCTTCCCTTCCCACACATGCACAGGAGAGCATACATCTGCAATAGTAAGTTCTACAAAATATTTCAAATTTTAAATACCCTAAAATGAAACCGGCTGAAGAAGAAAGAAAACAAAAAACCCTACACAAAACAAATAGAAAAAAGCCCTCAAGAAAACCTCCAAAGAAACAAAAAAAACCATTGAGTTGATTTTTATTTACTGCAGTAGCCTTAAATTAAGAAGTATTTAACATTCCAAACACATACAGAATTATTTGCACATTCATTTATTAATATTTATTACTGGCAGTACTTTGCTTTGTTGAAAAAGGAAAGTCATTAGCATGATAATTTGGTTTCTTTATATCTACAAAAAAGGAAGATGAACTGTAGAAGCATCATTTTGAATTCTTTCATCCACTGACAGACTTACCTTTTCTGTAGCCTATGAAGATTTTTTAATGTGATATGACTGCTGAGAACAACTTTCTTCTAATAAATTTGATTAATTTAAGAAACATAAAATGGATAGAAAATTTACAACTCAGAGATAAAAAGAAAGAAATTGCTAAGTGTTAACAGAAGAAAGCACCAAATCCTTCTAAAGAGCATAAAGGCTGGATGTAAAGGTAAAACAAATCCTACAACTCTGCCCAATGTACCTATGTATTTTATGTGGTAAACTTAACACTGAAAAGACATTCTAAATTAAATCAAGATCTTGAATTTGTTTTATTTCGTACTTAGCTGTTAGCTACAACAATAAGACCACTATTCTGCTAGAGTAAGTTGTATCTTTCTGATGCTATTTAAGTAGAGGATATTTCATGCCACATATGTTCAAGGTGGGCTTTGTGGTATATAAGAGCAGCTTGCTTTCTTAACACATTCATGAAATTACTCTCAACGCAATTTTTAAAAGAGCTCTACAAGTATAAAAAGAGATCCATTTTTCCTCATGTTATTAATATATTTATTTTCTGAACCTTACGTCTACTAACCAATTCATACTTCTCTATGAATTTAAGAGACATCTGAACACCTGGATGCAGAAATATCATTGGATAAGGAAGGGACTTTTAGAAAGCAAAGTTTAGTGTTATTTTTCAAGTATTCTCTATTAATAAAGAACATTAGGACACAACCATAAATTTCTACTTTCATCTTTCTTTAATGTTTACCATTGAAAATTATGTGCATATGTACTCTATTTTTTAATCTTAAAATAAAATATTTTTTAAAAAAATTATTTGAAAGCAAATTTGAAGTTGTAAAGGACATAAGCCATAATGTATCTGAAAACTTGCATTTCAGGTAAGCAGCACACATACAACCCAAGACAGTCATGACTGCAGATATGTGATTATCCCTCTCTGTTAGGGAAAAGAATCAAAATTAAAAAGCTTTTCCCTGTTACTTATGAAATGTTTTCCTCTTTCTTTCTGATAACTAATTTTTCTCACATTCTCTTCTCAGAAGTCAGGCATTAAAATGGTTGAGAAATAAAGGTTCTATCATTTGCTATTCTATTCCTTTTCTGCTATAGTGACAATAGTTTTTCTTAGAGGCTGAAAGAGCACCAGAGGAAGAACTGGATCCTTAGCAATTTAAATGAAATAAAGATGCTGAATAAGCAGGACAGCATTGTTTCTGGCTTTTAAAAATCATTTCACACAAGCATCTATTCTTCTTCAGCCTATTTCCTAGAATCTTTAGTAAAAGGCTACACTAAGCAAAAATAGTACTTTTGAAATAAGTGATACAGCTCAACACTAAGATTTTTACTCCTCTTTTCTTAGAATTACATAGAGAGATGGTTGTTTTCCTTTTTTTTTGTTTGTTCTGAGAATTAACTTTGACTTCCTGCATGTTCCTATTGGACTCTTAATGCAAAGAAGCATTAATAATCCTACCTTGATTTTTTACAAGTTAATAATGCTCTTGCATTTGTGGTTTGCTCTTATGTTCTTTTCTAGAGAAAAGAGAAGTAAGTCTAAAGCAAAGAATGAGTCACACTTGGGAGTAATCTTTGGATATTTTGGTCATTTTCATCTTTTCGTCCATTAAAAGGGAAAAAATATACAAATCCAGAAGTACTTCATACCATTGAAAATGCTTCAGGTAAACCAAATCCAGATTTTAGCACAGTTCTAATGTAAACTGTTACTGACAAATATGCATTATTTGTGCAAATGTTTTAGAAAATGATTGATGCTATTTGTAGTGCATTTTGATCCCAATCCTAGCAAACTAAACTCTTGAATTTCAGTTAAACTTTTGACCAAAGAGACACGCTTAAATGAAATTCAATTGAGCAGGCATAGTAACTACTCAGAAAAAGGACTTGCCAACAGTGACAGAGTGGATAAACTGAAATAATTGATAAGATGTATACCAACAATTCTCTTAAATCCTCAATAAAGAAGCACAGGAGTCAACAGGCTAACAAAAGTCTTTATCTTATACCTCACTTATACCCCTTTGGGAAAGTAAGATTTTCCAAAGCATTAGCAATTTAAAATAGGAGGGAATCAAAGCTGAGCTCAGCTGGAGGACAAAATTCTGGCTTCCATTTGGTTTAGATTTTCTTTGTTGGCTGTTTTTCTGCACTTCATAAAAATAGTATCATAGTACTTTGTATTACCAAATCAAATAAGAATTGCATAGCAGAGCTCTTTGATCTGGGTGTGAAATATAGTGTTCATAAGATTTCAACACAAATACTATGTGAAATGATATGGAAGACCTTGAAGAAGGTCCATCTCCGCTTTACTTCATAGTAAATCTTTAATTCCTAGTGGTGACACCTTTTAAGTTAGTAGTGATGGAAATTTGTGATACCCAAAAGCTTTTATATAGCACTAAGATTATTAAGCAGTATTTTGCTATCATACTTAAGGCTTCCTTTCACTTCCTGTTCCTGAATCTGTCCTTTAACAGGACAGATTTGCTTCAAACAAAAAAAATTACTTTAGATAATCTGAATGGGTACTGAAGGTCACAAAAATTTTGAAATTTTATTAACACTCTCAGGCACATGGTGTGATTCTAGGAATGTTCTGCGTAGGGCTGAGAGTTTGACTCAATGATCTTAATGGGATCCCTCCCAACTCAGCATATTCTATGATTATAAATATTAGACAGAATTAACATTTTTATCAAATACATAAATTGTCTATTTTCAAATGTTATTACTTTGTGTGGTTTCCAAAAAAGCACTGTTGAACTACAATATTTAGCTAAAACAAGACTTAGAAATTTTCTGGTGCAATTTAGTTGAAGATTTATAATTTAAAAATAAAATGTATAAATTTGTAGTTCTTTAATATTTACTTGTTTCATCTGGAATGCTTTTAGTTCCCACTTATTTTTTTAATATTGATTCAAAGAAGTAAAAAATTTCCTTTTCAGAACCCATAAGAGGTGAAACTATTATCTTTATTATTTTATTGCAGGTGACATCCTTTATTTTAATCCCTGTCTCCAAATGCTCCAGAAACACCTTTTAAAAAGAAAACCATCTATAATAAAATGTCCCATTTCCCCACTACTTCAGATTTTTTTTACAAAATCAAACCAGTGAAGCTAGCTTGTCTTGCAAAAAGCTGTTTTCAACACTAGCCAAAACTAATTCTAAATGTATTCATGTATTTGCTCAGTTATAAAATTTTCAGACATGCAAATGAATTCTTAGATAATCCTATAACAAGTGATGAATTTCCTGTTTAATGAGCAAAACCCTAGCCTAGAATTGGGTGCAGGCATTCTACCATAATAGATTATCTAGGAAAACACAACAAAACCAGAAAAAAATCCATTTCAAGACGTGTTAAGTGAAATGATTAAACATAGCTTCTGCTACTCATACTTTCCTGTTGAATCTAAAGAATAATTATTTAATACAGTTTTTAAACTGCAAATACAATTTGTATTGTTATTGATATTTCTATTGTTACCAATAAGCAAACTAGGAAATTTACACTATCATACAAACACCTTTTGAAAAGAAAAGCATTTTTTTACTTACTCTTTATAGCTGACACTGAAACTCAAGTTGCTGTTACTGAATATACTTTTAAAATAAGTATAGAAAACAGTTGCAATCTACATCTCTATGATAATTTGGATGGAACCAATTTATATAATGAAAACCAGAGAAAATAGGCTTTCGAGACCAAGTCAGTATTTCCACAGGGACATAAAATATCTTCAAAAAAAATTTCAGTTAAATGATTTTTGGTTCCTTGTATATTTATGGTACTGAAATATTTTGAAAACACATTAAAACTACCAAACTTTAAGAGAACAGCAGTATCAAACAAGGAATAATGTTTAGCCAAATGCCTGCTGCTGCTCTTGCAACATTTCATATTTCAACATTATAGTCTGGTTTAAAGACTTGAAAGAAATAAAGTGGTAGAGAGCTGCCCACACAGCCCATAACACTTGTAGTATCAGAATACATTTCAAGTTTCTCACCTTGTCAATCATTTTACGAGCTTCCATTTCTTCAGGATTGGGATTTTCCAACTCAATAGTGTAAGTACCTTTGTCACTCTGGTCATCCTCATTGTCCTTTTCACTAGCAGCAGAAATGTGTTGGCTCTTCAACTTTTTGTCCATCTCCTGGTTCTGATTAGGCCTATGGCCAAGGCTTCCTGAACTCCTTAACAATGCAGCTTGTAAGGCAGGTAATGCAGCAGAGGGTTCTTCTGATTTCTGGTTTAGAAGTTTGGCATGAACACCATGTACTGCTCTGTGATATGATGAGCTAGCTTGCACAGGTGAAGGGACTTTCTCTCCTGATGCAGGTTTCACCCTTTCAGCTCGTGTGTGAGATGTGGGAGATGGAGATTCTGGGCATAGAGCTCCTACATTCTGAGAAAAAGAGTAAGAACGTCTCTTGCGAGGATGGTCTTCATCAAAAAACTCAATCATAAAGGCAGTCTGACTCATACCAGCTTGATCTTGCTGCTTTTCTGTTGAATGAACTTTCTGGTGTGACTTTTTCAGCTCTGCATGATGATGCCTTAAGTGCTCTTCAAGTGCTGCCTGTTTACTGTAATGCCGGTGTGCACCAATATTTTCTGAATCACTCTGTGTGCCATCATCATGTTTATTCCCTACAAGCAAAGCAAAACAATGCATAGCACTGTGAAACAAAGAAAGACATAGCAGACAAAAAAAAAAAAAGCAGCAAACTAGGAATGAAAATTATTTCAAATCAGATTTCTGTTTAAACTTCAACAGTTTACAGTACTCGGCTCTGCAAATTTGGTACAGCTCCTGGAAATGCAATCAACTTGCTACAAGTCAAAGAATGAAACATTTTAGAAGCTGATCAGTAACAGCAGTGCATTTGAAATATCTTTTCCCCAATATTTTCATCTGTGAATACTTTCCAGTGACATACAAAAGCCAGCATTTTACCAGCTGTACTATAGTATGTTTTTGAATTATATCAGTTCTGTTACAGAGCCAGTTGATTATAAATGACTACTGACACATTCCAGGCAGGGTTAAGAAGAAAAAGAAAACCCTAATAAAATCCTTCCAACAGTGGAAAGAGAGACACAGTTCATTGCTGGATTCTTCCCACATTTACAACAGTTTATCATGAGAAATGTCTACTTAAAATTGGACTGAATTCTTTATTACTCTTCCCAAGACGAGCAATGAGTTTTTCCATAATTCACCCCACTCAGCATTTGATGTGTGCATGTAAAATGGTTGTTATTACTTATTCATTCCACAAACTACTCTGAGATCTATGAATAAGGATTATGTATTTCATAAATCATAAATTCACCTACAAAAGTACTTTGCAATGATACCCGAAAATGTACAGAAGGCTGGATACTTGCACACAGTAAGTGTATTTTAAACAGAACAACCTAATATACAAGAGAAGTGTCAGTGCTCCTAAGTTTTAGCTCAGTACCTGGGAAGAAGCAGTTTCATCCTCTTTGAACTCCTCTAGATCGAATTTTGGTTATATTCATAAGGTACAATTTCTGTATTTTTGATTTTCAAGAGGTTAGCTTTTTTAAGGTTTTTTCATCTAAATAATTAGGATATGCAGCTTCTATTCAGTTAAATAGAAATTACATATTGGCTAGTATTACTTATCAGACTAATACCACTAAAAAAACACATCTTAAATCCCAACTCACCTATTTTCTACTTGTTAGAATACTGCCTACAAAAATTAGGTGATGATTCATATATTTCCAAATAAAAATAATAATAATAATGCAATATCAATACTATAATAAAAGTAATATAATCTAATTTTAGCAGTGGGACTTCAGTACAGAGTATTATAAGAAAAAGCTGAGGAGAAAAAGAAAGAAGCTTTGAGTTTTTATTAAAAAATTAAACTTTCAAAGTACCTAGGTATATTTACTATCTAAAAATACTACTGAAGAATGAGATTACAAACAGGCCATAGAAGATTACAAAATTCAGATATTTGTTACGGCCATATCCCATAACTTACACCTCTTTCAGATGAAAAATAATTAGACTTTGAGTAGTTTCTGCCAGGAAAAGGTTTATAAACAAAGCTTCTTCTATTTATCAAAGTGTCATGGCTAGTATGTTAAAGAACATTCATTAATACAATACAATACATGAAGGTCAAAGAATGTGATTTACACCAGAAGAAATAATACTCTATTATCTTTATGCTAGCACATTAATCTAATTCTGCTTTCAGAATTTTATTTTTAGGAGTCAAATGATAATGTTAGACATGATAATGTTGCAGAAGGTTGAATGTTGTAAAGTTGTTGAAAAAGTTCAGCAGAAGTTTTCATTCTGAAAGTTTGAATGGTACTGGAATCTTCATCTGAATATCACGACTATCTGCTTCTCTATTCTGTTAAGTGACACTCAAAGTACACCTGTCATGTGTAACATTTGATTTAGTTTAATTTGGTATGTCACTATCTGCCATAAATGAACATGTATGATCTGGAACTCCATTCAACACCAGCACTCATATGAACACAACAGTCCACAAGCTGAATATAAAAATTGAAGCTCTTCCTTTATTTCTGATTCCTGACTCAAACTTGACCTCACCAAACATGATCCACATATGCAGAATGAGTACATGGTATATTCCTTACCATAAATTATTTTCTTAGAACACACAAATATTCACAGAAAATATGCTATTGAAAGAGCTGCTAAAAGCATAAATTGAACTTCAGAGCTTTGATTCTAAACAGCAATTCATGTTTTTGAAGTAATTAATGAGGAGTGAGATATATAAAATCTACCTAAGGTTTGGGTTTTTTCCTTTTCTTTTTCATGATCAGTGTTTAAATACCTAATGTTTTCAGCCACACTAGAACATCTCTAATTAGCATATTGACTGTAAAATGATTCAGCATTTTGTTTCTTACACTCATTGTAAGAATTCAGCAATAAAATTTCCCAGCATGAATCCTTGCACACGTGTCAAGTATCTGTGATTTCATCTGAACTCTGCAAGGACCCTTTGACAGCCTGCTGGTGAGGAACTGCTGCTTTCTAAACTAAGCATAGCTGGAATTATTCACTTTACCTTTAAGTCTCTTCAAGTACACTGGAACGTCACTCTTAATACTTTTGGAATCCTCCTCCGTTGGCTCCCATATCATTCTTGGAGGATTATTCTGTGCAAGCCAATCTGCTACTTTGCTCTCCGCAGCCATCATCACCGTCTGAAGCCCTGGCAGGTCCTGACCACTGGAGGAAGACTGTTTCTTCGACTTGTGACGTTGCTCCGATGTGAATTTTGTCACGTGATCTTTGATCTTTACTTTTCCTGGAGTGTTGTCATCAAATTCAATGGTAAAGGAAGCGTGTCCTGAAGCTGCTGTGTGGGAGCTTTGGGTATCTTTTGTGGGAATTTCATGAATAGTGCTCTCTGATACCTGTGAGGCTTGCTGGCATTCTTTAGTAGGGATTTCAAAATAACTGGGCTCCCTACAGAAAGGATAAAGTTCTTCACTTGCAGATGCAGATCGCTCCTCAGATTGCTTGGCATCTGTGCTGCATCCTATTAGGAAAAATTAAAAAAACAGATTTCACAATACTTGTGAACTTCAAGCTCTTCAACAAGTTTCTAAACTCCTGTAACAGCCTCTTGAGTAATTTCTGGAATAAACAGTAAGATTGTGGAGTAGACTGAGCTCTGTAGTTCTGGAAAAATAGTTCCAGAGTTACATATAGGAAGTATTAATGAAAAGGCATTTTCATTAATAAAGTTTGAACTTCAGCTATGAGATGTATAAAGTGGAAAAAAGCTCATTTAGAATTTGCCAAAGTGTATGCAAAATATTTTTAGAAGATGTAAAAGTCAGATGAGTTATTTAAACATGGAAAATAGGTAAATCAAAGTGGCAAAATTGTTGAGATGATCATTAGCACAATTCCAATCTATTGATAAAAACATCAAGTCAGGGTGCTCCCAAAACAAATGATAATGATCTTTCATCTCCCATAGTGGATAGAAAGCATAATTTTGTTCAGCAAACATTCTTCAGAAAAACAATTCACACATTAATGCAAGATAAACATTAATTCTGGCTTGAAAAGTTAAACACTGCTATGCACTGGAAAGTGTTTTGGAATGGAACCACTTTATGTTTATACAAAAGATAAAACCAAAGAATTGAGCTAAATCCTACTGTCATGTCCTCTTATTTTACTTGTTGCCTATAGTTTGTACATGAATAGAAAAACAGCTGGAAGCACACAGAATGTTAGCAAGCCATGCTCTCACTGGCTAAAAAAACAGCTGGCTAAAGAAAGCAGAAAAAGCACAGGGTAGTAATTTGAAGTTCCACTGTATAGCCTAAATGAAAGCTAAAGCTTCCTGTGGTTGCTGCAAAGCTACCAATGTGCCTTTAAGGAAACAAACCTGATTGCATTTTATGAACTACTAAGTCAGCCAAAATACCTGGTGCAGAGAAGTACTAAAGATACAGAAGCTTGAGACCTTAATAGTAACAACAACTTAGATTCAAGCAAAAGAATTCTGAATAGCTCTGAAGTAATTTATCTTGGACCACTCTAAGATGTTTAAGATATCATTTCATGTTACCAAGTAAAGAACTGAGACTGCAACTAATTGATTTTAGGTACTGAATAAAGCTACCCTACATCAGCTGAGGAAGTTAATATTTGTGCATGAAACTGTTATGACATGAGACAGCAATAGAAACACTTATACTAAAGTCAGGAATTTAAGAGATAGAGGATGCATGATGGAATCATGCATCTATGCTGCTTCTTGCAAACACATGCTTCTTGTGAGGATTTATGAAAAGGTAAAAAATTAAAAAAAAAAAAAAGGTGGTGGTGTGATACAGAGAAATAAACTATTTAAAGGAAAGAATAATACCTGGAAAAAAAGATGGTATTGAATTAAAACAAGAACAGTACACATTCTTTATTATTGCTATGTTTGGAAATTCATTGGATAAAAGTACTCCAGTGCAGCTAGCAAAGTGGTTGCAATTTATTTTTTCTACCAGTAGCTGTTACAAATACAAAACATGTTCGGAATTCACACAGGTTGTTCCATTGTGCTGTTGGATTCCAAGAACCCCCTAGCGAATGACTTTCATTGCACTATCAGCTACCTTATATCTGTGGGGAAGTTTTCAGGTATTACAACAGCACCTCACTACTCCCCTCCCTGGGAAACAGAATGCCTTTTTAATACCCTTCCTGAAAACATTTATGCCAGCAGACACACAATACAGAATTTATCTATTTTACTGATGCAAAGGCTATTAAAAATCTTCTCTTTTTATATAGAAAATGTACAGAAATAAACAAAAGTCACACTTTGCAGGTCCTAGACTTCGGATAAACTATGATCACTCTCCATTTGTTTCACGTAGCTAACAAGCTGGAATGGATCAAACTGGCAGGATCAAATTTAGAGTGTGGATCCTTACAATATGAAACACAGTCACTGAAAAGGAAAGTAATCCACCACACAGCCAATTCACAAACAACATTTTTTTCCTCCATGTGCTTCTGCTCAAAACTTCAAGTCAACAACATCATGCAATTCCTGTAGCTAATAGTTAAGCCACATATAGTGTTCAACACTTGTTCAAAGAAGATAACTGGCTAATACTCAGTTTTGAGAAATATTTCTAAGTTTGGGCAAGGCAGGAGCAATCTGGTAGCCAGACAAGACACAGTACTTTACTGTAATTATGAAACAGTTGGTTTATTGCCATCTTTTGAAAAAAATTAGAATGTAGGCAAATTACATCAGATGTACAGCAATGTGAGGATCTCTCACACTGGTTTGTCAGAACTGATGAAGGACTTCACAAAAAATTTCTGTGTGAAACTTGCCTACACCAAATTTAACATTTCAAATCAACCATTTATACTATAATAATATGCACAGTATTTGATTCCAATATTTTTGATTAAACAGTTGCTAGTATATAGTTTGAATCTAAATTAAGACAGAGTTTAATCAAAAGAAGAAAGAAACTGAACTACAACTAAATTGTAAATTTTGCTAAACTAGAAAAATTTTTAACAATTATATAAATAAAAATATCTGAAGTATAAGTTAATCTTAATCACTTAAAAATCCTATTTTCAGTCAGAAGTACTTGCATTTTTAGAAAAGTAAAATGCATCAGAATTTATTACAATAAAAAACAGAAAAGGAAGAAGCAAAAAAATTAATATAGATCCTGATCTAAACCACCCTTCAATATTTTTCTCGCAGATTCTAAATGCAAGTCCTTAGAGCTTTCAAATATTACAAAGAGTGATCTATAAAACAGCCTTACCTTTGAAATCCTATTATAAAATGTCATCTGCCAAGATGAAGGAAATCATGTATCAGACTAAATACAGACACCTTTAAGAGAAAATCTTCAAGCAAATACTGAAGATAGTGGTTGTCACTGCTCTGTAATTTTCAACACAGAACAAGAATAGTATATGTATAGCAAAACAGGCAACTGCAAGTTAGTTTTGGGAAAATGAAGGTACAGGTAGGTTGTGAACTTCAGTCTCTTCAGGGATGAAGGCATTTCATAACTGGCAAGACCAAAAGGAAAGAGGCAGAAAAAGTAGCAGGATTATCTGTAAAAAGGGAGCTCTCACTCTTCAAAGTTCCTGAGTGACAAAAGACAATGGAACTTCTGTTTCTACAAAGCAAGTGAGGAAGCAGTAATTGGTAACTGCCACCAAGGCATAGCGATACTATTGCTAAAACAAGTCTAGGAGAGGCTAGGAGGGAAACAAATATTTGGGAAACCACAGGCTTAACCAAAGGGAGATTCCGAGAGATCCTTTAGTAGGGAACATTCTTGTGAGGAATGACTGTGTTTGCTTAGTATGGAGAAGAGGAAGCTCAGGTAGGATCTCATAACTCTCTACAGCCACCTGGAAGGAGCCCAGAGTGAAGTGGGGCCGGTTTCTTCTACAGCGCCTGCAGTGAGGGGACTGGAAGAAATGGCCTTAAACTGAGACAGGGGAGATTAAGATTAGACACTAGAAAAAGATTTTTTCACTGACAGGGTTGTCAGGCATTGGAATAGATTGCCCAGCGATATGGTGGAGTCACCACCCCTGGAGGTATGCAAGAGGCATCTCTATGTGGCACTGGGCGAAGGCTCAGTAGTTTAAGGGTTACAGTGCTGGATGGATGGTTCAACTGGACTTTCCGGGGTTTTTTAAGTCTTATTTCTAAATTACACACACAAATAGTCAGAATCTTAACATTTTACTTGCTGACCTGGACAAGAAAAATCATAGGTTTCTGTGCTATTCAGATGTGGAAAAAAAGGCATCTGTATATTAATATATCATCATCTGCAATATCAGGAAATCTCAGAAAATATTTTGCACAATCTTCAGATTTTTAGTAATGCTCTTTTCTTTCTGCCTTAAAAATACAATTTTAAGAATGAAACTTGTAAAAGAAAATGATCTGGAATTTACAAAGCACTTCCTTTAAAAAATGCCTGTAATCCTGAAGCAATGTATCTATTTGAAATAGGTATAACAAACAGACAAAATATCATATTTACACAATACCCCAAAATATTTTTAATGTTAGCTTTATATTTGGCACCGTGCAATGGTATATGTAATAAAAGAAGCTGAATTTAGTGCTTTCAAATGCTTAATATAATTTTTTTCCCTTCCTCTCTGTTTTCATATTTATTCATACTCATATTCATATTCAACTTTTTATTTCCCACTTATGTTTTAGGTTTTTTTTATTTTCTTTGCAGCTGAAGAAAACTTCATTTTTTATTTAAAGACGAGATTTCAATAAATACATATAGTGATTCACCTAGTATTAGATATGAAGATCTTTATCTTTTAATGCTTTCATAACCAGTCTTGTGAAAAAATACCAGAATTTCTCTTTCAAAATAAAAATACAAACCAGCACTGCATATAAATCCCCATCTCTCGTAATAAATAATTTCACTACCAGATTTAAAGGTGCTTAAGTGAAAAAAGGACAAAACTAATCTTACTTAAATACATTGCTGTAAGGGGTTTATAGAGTTCTGTATGCTCCCCATCACATACAGTGCATATTTGCTGCTAGAGCTTTGCAAAGCAAGCCTTATACACAGCACTTGCACATATTTCATGACAAAACTCATCAAAATTCTAGAACGAACTGCTAGGAACTTAGCTGCTTATACTGCTGATTAAGCATCACACATTACAATGTGTGTAAACTAAACACACTGATTACACCGGTATTTCTCAACTGTCAGCCTGCTTTACCTGAAAATGACAGCTTCTTAAGTGCAAGGAATGTTTAATCTGACATATTCTTATGCAATGCTGGAATTAAAATTCATGCCAAGTGTTAAGAATTACTTCAGATTCCTGAAGTCTTCTTGAAAACTTATTTCTGCCTTTTATTAGATTTCTGGTAAACGCATTAAATGACATAAAATTCTACAACTACTACTAAGATTGGCAGAGAATGCAGTTTTTGCTTTCCCAGGAAGTGAGAGTGTAACATATGGCAGTAATAATAATTACACACCCAATAAACCTGCCAATAACATGAGCATTTAACAGCTGCAGCATAAAGTCACGCCAGAGGTGTACACACAACTGTTCATTTTAATACAGACTAGCAGATCTATGGATCTTGGAACTAGAGAATTACATGTCTGAAAAATGTTGAAAGGATTTTTCTTTTCAAAGCTTTCCAGGCTATTTTGCTATGTTTGTAAATAACTTTCATTAGTGAATTTCTGTTGTGCTAGAAATGCAGTAACATTGAAATAATCTTTTTAACTTGAGACTGTAGAGACTAATTGTCTATAGTTGGCTTAACAGACATAAATCTCCCACTTCAATCTCCTCATTAAACCTTACCCTATCTCTTAGAATTCAAATCTTCTTTTCTATGCAATAAATAATCATGTAAAAAATCTTTAAAGCATGACACAGATTTTTAATAGGATTACTTTGTTCAAATATATGTATCTGATTTTATTGATTTTAGTTTAAGAATTCACCTGTAATGTACTTACTTTTAGGCAGTTTACATTAAAAAGCATGTCCCAGATCAGTGTTTTAAACACTTAATACAATTTAACCCATGAAAGAATAATTAGCTGCACCAATCTTAAACATGTCTGATTAAAGTCTGCTTATATTTTAAAATATCCAAGAATGGCAGTCTTCTGAAGTTTCCAATTTTCTTTCATACAAGTGTATCTTTGTATTCATATCCTATTATTATATTCATCTATATTATAAAACCTAAGTGCTTGAAGAAAATATATAACTTGTTGAAAATAAGTTAATTTTTTCATAGAATGTAACTGTAGGCCAAAACAGGCCAAAAATCTTATGATTTTATAATTCCATGAAAACATTCAGAATGTCTTTTGCACACTTCTATACAGACACAGTGTTCTGGGACCACCGAAGTGTCCATAGAAGCAAATGTCAATTCTTTCATGGTTTGTCTTCTCAGCCTCTCTACCAACACTACTAAAAATTATCTACAACAGTCAAAAACTGTTGACTAGTAAAAAACCAGACTAGTAGAACATACAATTCTACTACATTCTACTACAATTCTACTATAAATGAGTCTACTCAGAGATTAGGTGTTCATGATAAATAAATAATTTGTCTGTATACAGGATTTTAATCTCACATCCCCACAAATGGTTTTGCAAAAATGTCAGGTTTTGGATTTTTCTCAGCAGTGTCTTCCTTTCACATAAGTTTTTCTTTAGTATGTGCTTTTCCAAACTGAATTCCATTCCTGCAGATTTATGAGTCTTCCAGTTAGAGGAAATAGAAGCTATTCTTACACTCTTCTTAGATCAATACTATTCACAGGAAATACATTCATGGATAAACAGAAGCAACAACATAAATAAAAGGGATTTGCAATTTTTATTTTTTTTTTTCTTTCAAAAAAAGGACAAAATATTGTATTCACCAAAAAGGCTTTGGGCCCAAATTTAGCTTTTGTATAGTATATATATATGGAAAACCCCCAAATTTAAATAATTTAGAAAATACTAATCTATTTTCTCTATTCATCATGTACCTTGATTATCTATAATGACTCCACTAACCAAATCATGTCAAAAATATCCCCATTACTTAAGTTCAGTCTAGAACAAACTTATTTTTGTCTACTACTGAAACAGATGGCACCTCCATGATTGGTTTGAGTGAAAGTTGGAATCTTATTTGTCTTGGAACTCAGGAATTAAGATAGAAGCACTGATCACTTGCTGAAAAATCTCTTGATAAAATAAATACAAAAGCATGTAAACCATTTAATGGAATTTGATGCTTCTGAAAAAGCAATTTAAAATGATGAAAAACAAGAAAAGGAACGCTACTAAATATAAGCTGGCATCTTGTGTCACACCTTGCAAATGGCATGGCATGGCATCAAAAACATGGACTTCAGCATATTATATTTTCAATAATCCTATATTTAATGAGGGAAAACTAATTTAAATGTTTTTATCTGATTTCTTTATACTAGTCCAAATCTTAATAGACTTACTCTACTATCTGAATGATGACAACTTTAGAATAACATGAAAAAGGCCATGAAAAAAGGCTATGGTAAAAAGTTAATTCCAAAGACCTTGCCCTCACTGCACTGGTCTTCATTTAGTTTGATTTACAGGTTTTTAGACTTCACTCCAGCTCCTGCAAAATATGATTCACGTTAATCAAAGCAAGTACTATGACAGGAAAAGAGAAATTCTGAATTCAATTAAAGTACTTTAAGAAACTGCAAACTTAAAACTACTGGACCTTAAATGTGTGTCTAAAGAGCTAAACAAACATGGCTGAATTTTGTCCTAACTTGAATAAGTTTTCAGTTACTGTCTTCATTAGAATAGCAGTCACTTTATTTACATGCCTGACGATAGATATAAAAGCCTAATTATAGGTACTGAGATTGAAGTTCTGGCAATACATACTGTGTCTAGACAAGCTAACTAATAAAAAGGTCTGCATTACAGGGGAATAAATATTACCAGTTTAACTTATATTACACAAACTTTTACTTTAAGAACTATGACATGTAATTCCCACTAATACAGAATTATTGAATTACAGAAGGGAATGTTAGTACAGACAACCTTCCACAGTTAAAAGTCAGACACAAATATAAAGCACCACTTTTTATTGTCAGAAATTATTTCAATAAAATATTCCTATGCATATAAAATGACAGATATATATTAAACTGAAAAAAAAAAAGACGCACTGGTTCAGATAATGTTATTTGCTATACTTACTGATAGAAAATTGTATTATATACTAGAAAACTGACATATTATATGTGAAACTGATCTCTGAAATGCATAGTTTCTCACAAAAATATATTCTTCAATTATCTTACCTTTTCATCTATGCAAACTGTGAAGCTTCCAAACATTAATATCTGTTTAGTTCCCTAGTTAAGAATATATGCAGTTCAATAAAGAGAAGACAAAAAAATAAGACAACACACTTACCTGAAGCCCCTGTTTCAGGCATTTTTTCTTCATGCTTGCCATCTGGCTTACAACCACCTTTTTCATCAGCTTCATCTTCACCCCACCAGGCTGGCTGTCCATACAACGGTGTCCCACGAGGCATGGCAGAAGTATCTATAAAGTCAGCCCAAAGCAGAGAAAATAACTTTTCTGTTTAGCTGTGATATTAGGTTAAAATCACATGAAGAGAAAGTAATTTGCTTGGGTCATTTCTCCTGGACGCTGAAGTGAAATGGTTGCATGCATTTGCCTAAATACAAAACAAACTTGGAGGCCAGACAACTGATCTGGGTTCTAAATATAAAAGCTTACTAATGACCTAATCAAAACTTCTGGCACAAATGTTTATGCAAAGGCAGCTGGCATTTCTTATTGTTACCCTGATATATCTGTAAATATTATTTCTTCTTTCAGTTTGAACTCATCAGGATAGCAGTACATTCCTAAAAGCTGTTTGTTGCTATTTCTGTGAAAAGATTCTCATTCTTACCCACACTGACCTTTCAATGAAATCTGAACTCACTGCAGGAAAAATTGATCAAATTTTGCAATGTTGCCAAGGTTCCAAATTGCTGACAGCTACTACAGAGTGCTGAGTTACCTTGTGTGTAAAACATTACTGATCACAATCAATTTTACAGGGTTTTTTTCAAAGGTGTTAGTTAAATCATAGTACAACTAAAAGTGCTATACACATGGTTAAATATATTTAAATGCAAAAATTAAGAAAAAAAAACACTGATAAAATTAAAACTTCTAACTTGATGATAAATGTGCTGGGTTAGGTTTGATCTGATCTTTTGGAAAAATATCTTACCCTACAGAGATTTAGCTATTCTAGTGTCATATGTTCTGAATATATTTTAAGGAGTCTTTACATAAAAAAACATCATCTGATAAAATCTATCTTAGGAGCTTGTCTGTTACTTTATCCACTAGGAATAAAACACAGTCTTATGCTTTAGTCAATACTAAGCTGTTTTTAAACACTTGATAGTCACACAGAGAATTTGTAGATGCCCCATCCCTGAAGTGTTATAGAACAGGTTGGATGAACTGGTCTGGTTAAAGGTGTCCATGACCATGGCAAGGAGGTGCAACCTAAATGATGTTTAAACTCTGTTCCAACCCAAACCATTCCATAATTCTATTCCTGTGCACTGAATTAGCAATAGTGAACAGATATGCATTTATATGGCAACAGTGAGAGAATCAATCCCCATAAAGCTTCTGAGAGTTGCATTTAAATATAAATCCCTATCCTTGACGGTTATTTTTGGAAGAGTGAAAAGAAAACCCCTGCACCATGCTACTTTATGTACTCTTAACAAGTGCTGGATTAGACAACAAAACAAACAGGTTAATTAAGTGTATCACAGAATCCTGTATGTGTGGAAGGATGAGAGTTCTTTCAAGTGACTCTTCTGGAAGAATAGATGAAACCTAAACAAATCTGTAGAGCCCTGACCTAAGGAAATCAGACCTAGAGAGTTCCATATTAACGGAACAATAATACCTGATCTCTTTCTCATTCTTTTGGTTATCTCCACTACACTTCAGCAATCCTCATGCTATAGTTCATCAGAGAATCAGAGAACGGTTTGGGTTGGAAGGGACCTGCCATGGGCAGGAACACCTTTTGCCAGACTAGTCTGCTCAAAGCCTTAAACACTTCCATGACGAGATATCCACAAACTTTCTGGACAACCTGTTTAAGTGGTTCACTACTCTCACAGTAAAAAATTTCTTCCTAACATGTAAACAAAATCTCTCCCCTCTCATTTAAAAACCATTGCACCTAGTCTTTCATCACTACTTGCCTGAGTAAAATATGCTCTCCCTCTTTTTTTACCAGCTCCCTTTAGGTACTGAAAGGCTGCCATGAGGCTCTCCCTGGAACCTTTTCTTCTCTAGGCTGAACAACTCCATCTTGCAGCCTGTCTGCTCCAACCCTTTGTTCATCTTTTTGGCCCTCCTCTGGCCTCACTCCAACAGATACAAATCCTTCCCATACTGGGGGCCCAGAACTGGGTGCAGTACAACCCACATAAAGTTTTAAGACAACCACAGCAGAGCCACCATGACACATTAAATAAATACGACCAATGGCGCAGAAATGAGTCTGAAGCCACAGTATCTACAAATCTTTAAACCACAATAGAACACTTAGGTTATATCCTGACACAGGAATCAGTGAATGCTAGGAACTACCAAGCAAACAAACAAAACTCCCCACCCATTAAAAAGGGAAAAAACCCCAAACCAACCAAAGGAAAAATAGTGCACTTGGTAATGGTGATGGTAAAAAATACAAACTGTTTCTTAACAAATACTTACACTCAAACTACCGCAATATAGCAATATAGCAACATAGCAATATCCTGCCACAAATGCTTCAAGTTTGTAATTTGGGCAAAGGGACATGCAAAAATCTTATAACTGCCGATTCAATCTCTCTTTAAAAGTTTTCTTAACATGTGGATGCTACTGTAAAAAAGGTAGAAATTAAATGCCAAAAATAATTATTTACACCTAACCTATGGTTAAATGTTCATATATTGAAATTTTTACTGTCTACAGGAATATCACAATCATCGTACTGAAGAAAATTAACGTCCTTTCCAAGTTTTGTGCTTCTGCAACAAAAAAAAAGAACCTTACCCACTGATTTTTCTTCAGATTTCAGTGCTTCTGTAGTTTTGTGGTGCACTTCAGCTGTGGAGTCTGTTACCTTGGACTCTGAACTTTTGGAGCTGCTTTGTTTCGATCCTTCTGCCTCGGAAGATTTTTGGGATAACTGGAGCTGGCTTGTGAATTTTTCATGCTACATGACATTAAATAGAGAAAAAAACACAAACCCTCAAAGACTGGGATAAAATCCAAAACCTCTGTTATAATAACTCTACAGTGACAAAAAAACATCCAGGAACTGCACATTGTTACCTTAAGTGCTTCTTCAGGGACTCTCATCTCTCCCCTGACCACAGTAAAAAGATTAGTATGTAGGAAATTATAAGGAAAATACTGAAAATACTCTGAATTCTCAAGAAGATTTTAGAGAAAAGCAAAAATTGTGCAGTGTATTATGCCACTTGAATGGTGACAGCTTTCAAAATATGTCACTGTTAGGATATTGTGCACTATCATACTCATCAAAGCAAATGAATTTATTTACTATTTGTAAACAGAACATTGAGTAGATACCTTGGTGTTTTACTAATGCAAGTAATTTTTTTTTTCATTCAGTTGTTTGCTGCATAATTAACTGTAATATAATCTGCTGGTATACAACTGCATATGATACAAATATTTATGTATTTGCCTCAAAGAAAAGTAGTACTTTTGAGCAACACAAAAGATACACATTACGTTCTAAACTGTAAGTGGAAGTTAAGGTTTCTTGCAGTGAGAGACAATGAAATGTACTTTATCAGTACCTCAGACCAAGGTAGAATATCCTAAACCCTGAGATTTTCGCTAATATAGGCATTTTTGCAGCAATGAGAACACTTAACACAACCATACTTCTAACAAGACAAGTGTGTCCCAACACTGTATTTTTATGACAAGGATATCATATCCAAATCTCAATTTATCTTCTAACTTCAAAGTGATGTATGTCTGTTCTGGAATCCTCACATCATTCACAAATGTCTGCAGAAACAAATGAGGACAGAAAGAAATACCATTAAATTACAAAACAATAAAATTAAATAATTTAAATAATTTAAATAATTTTGTCAGAAAGTCTTCAGTACTACAAATTTTCTATGGATTTTTTTCATCAAATTTTGGTGATTCACAAGGAAACTATAAGCTCAAATTGCTAGCTGTTTAATAAACAGGAAGGTAAAGAAAAATAGGAAGGTTAAACACCAGTTGATAACCAAGTTGCACACTGGCCTTGAAAAATTCCTTGCATATTTAATCTTGTTAGCAATATTAATGGATTGTTGATTAAAGTTCCCTTGAATTAGCACCTCCATTTACTATTTTTCTTGTAATTTGCTTTTTCAATCCAAGTTAACCGCCGGAACTGATTTATCAGCATATTCGTACAGCACTTAGCATTAGATATGAGAGTTCAGAGGCAGCTTATTTCTAACCATTGTTATAAATGGAAAATATGGACCAAGTTAGTGCATTTGAGGAACACCAAAAATCAGTGGTAAGAATTCAGTATATTGCAGCCCTACAGGATCATTCTACCTCTAACTTAAAACTTCTACAACATGTACATGTTTCTAAAGAAAGAAACAGTTGAAATATACCATTTTATAAGTGCCTTGAAGTTGGAAAAACTTGAATAATTAAATAAGTCAAAAATCTGAATATTCAAATGGTTGTGTTGCTCATGAATCTAGTATTAAATGAACTGTGGTTAGAGAGAAACAATCTCCTTCCCCATAATAGTAAGAGGATCTTCCATTTAATTTTCTTTTCCTAAAGGAAAATAATGTTTATTTCATTATTTAAAAAATTGTTTATCTGCTTTGTAGAAAGTACCTTCCATGGGAAATAAAAATAAAACTACATCTATTTACAGGTTTGTAAGCATGAAACTCTCAGTAATGTTTCAGGCAAATTTGTTTCCCTTTAACATTTTGAGAGTTCAGGGCAAAAACCTCTGTGAAGACTATCCTCAAAGCCCTCTGAATTCTACTGAACCAACAGGATTCAGGCCACTTTGCAGACATGTATGTATATATGAATGTACACATTTTTCTTCCCAAGTCAGAATTCTGAAATTCATGTGCATGCACAGCATACACAATGCAGAAAGCTCCAAAGGCTGTGTGTGCAGTCTACTGACAGCCTCATGTTCATGACTAAAGTGACAGCATAAAACAACCAAGGTTTAGTTACTTTGCAACTGGGACTTTAAAATCTCATCACATGCTTTGGGACGCAAGACAAAGCTAACTTGAAAAAGCCACTTACTATGTAAATAAAGAATCCTTTGCCCCTTTAGATCATTCCCATTCACATGATTTCTAAAGTTTATTCTTCAAATAGTGAGAGTCAACTGTCTTTAAGCCTTCATAAAGTTTGCTACACTTTTCACAACCCAGTCCTGAAATATCAGTGTAAAAGGACTTTGCAATTCTGTAAATATCCCTGAGAAGAACGTTATTCAACAAAGCCATAGATTATTAATACTTCTTCTGGTATGTTTTTGACTTCACGAGTCAAAAGAGAAAGTTGAATTCTACTGATACTAGGGAAATAGTAATTACATACTAGCAATTGCACATGTTTACTTCAGAAAAAAGAAATGCCTTTATTTTTTTTTTGTATAGGAAAAAAAGAAAGAAAAACAGGACTGTCCAGAATGAGTCACAACAGACTATCAGAAATAAAATTTTACTTCATGTAAAACTGATTAAAATTTACTTTTGCTTTTTTTCCCAAATCTAGATGTCCGGGATAAAGACTTCTAGATTTAGAAGTCCAGGAAAAAGACTTCTGTAACCTTTTCACTGAACTGAGTGTAAATCAACCGTATATATAAGAATACTCAGGCATTAGGGCATCAGGTGCAATTACAGTTCAGCTTGTGAGATTATAACACTCATAACTCAAAACCAAAGTATTGGAATTAGCCATCTCCCCTTAAACTCTGATGCTGAGTGGTTGAAGTACATTACACCAGTAGCTTTGCATACCAGGAGAAGTATGTATCTGTTCTCAAAAGAGATGGGACCAACTGGAGAGATGCAAAACAAATCTTTTGACGATGTATGCAAAATAAGAAAGGGTAGAAGCTGCTGAAGCACTAGAAGAGGCACTCGGTAGCTAGGGACTGAGGCACTTGGTGTTCTCAGTGGAAACAGCGGCTAGACTAGAAGAATTATTACCTAGTTCACCATATGGTACTGAGGCATTGTTCTGCCACACAATTAAGTATGGCATTACAATCATAATGTGTTTTCTCCATTAACCTGAAACCAGGCAATCAGATGTATGGAAGAAAAGCACAGTGGGAAAGTGATAGTAAGGAAAACATTGTGAAGACAAAGAGCAAGGACTGAACTCCTGAGACTTAATATTCCTTGTCCCAAAACAGTGGGAAGAAAAAAGTTTCTTTGATGTCTCTGAGTAAACAGCTCTAAAGCAACTGAAGCTTCACCTCAAACCTGAGAATTAATTAGATCAAGTGAAGCAAGTCACTGAAAGCTCTTTATCAGAGGCAAAAAAGGAGTTGAATGAAGGCCTTTTAACATATATTTCTACTAAATTCCAGTTTTGTGACAAGGGAAGGAAAATCTGAAGGTATGCCCACTGACTATAGGAGTTACAGAGCTAGGGAATAAAATCAAATGTCTCAGCAAAAAAATTCTATGTGCTGAACTTATTTTTCATCACTGCCTTGAAACAGCACACCGACTTGGAAAATACAGAGATATATTAAATATTTAAGGACCAAAGTCCTTGTATGTCTACAGCTGTTCAAAGGATATAGCCATTTAGTGGTTTCAAGTGGAGTTGAAACTCTTTCTTTGGAAGGATGAGTTAGTTTCCTTAAAATACAGAAAAGCTAATAGAGACAGTGACAGCTTTATTTCTAAATGCACTTCAAGATCAAAAGGCAGTAACTTGGAAGTTCTTCTTCATCTTCTATTTATTTAAGCACTTGACAAAACTATTCACTATCAGTAGCTTTTTAAGTATTATTCACATAAGCAGTCACAGATGAACTCATGATTTTATTCTGTACATATTCATGCCAGAACCAAACATTTAAAGCTATAAAATAGCAACCATAACCAGTGCAAATGCACAATTCATACAGAAACATTATGACAAAGTTACTATGTTTTTAATAATTTGGTATAATATAAAAAACTTTTATAAAAAGTTTATGCTTAGCTAGATTTCTGAATATGCAATTCCTAGAAAAGCCTTAGAACATAAAATGTCATAAGAAACTACTTTTCCAATAACTTTGGATTTTTTCTGTATTAGTTTGCAATTCCTTCACACAAATTATTCATAGAGATTTTAATAAAAATTATTCTGAAAACCTAAATGCAAGTATATTATCAGTTAAATACATTTTCATACAACATGGCTATTGCATAATTATGTTCTGAGCTTTTCCTACTGCAAAGACCCTCTTATTACTGTAATTCATCACAGCACTTTAAAAACATGCAGTGGAAAACCCCTGCAAAGGCTACACTTTCTTTTTGAATGTTCCCCCATTTCCAGTCTTGCATCAAAAAGGTATTCATGTACAATTAATAATGCCTCGAAGAAATCCCAAAACAAAGATACAGAACACTATGGGGAACTATCTATTTCTGATGTTAACTTACCCCATTCAAGCTGCCCAAATCCTTCACCAAGTGTTCATCTGTAGAGGCATCATAGTTGAGTACAGCATGTTGCTTGTCCACACTCCGTGACTAAAATATATTAAATAAAATAAGGTATTTGAAAACCACATTAAGTGGTTATGGGTATTTCTTAGAGCAGTGTGATTATTTTCTTTCTAATTGCACATTTATTCAAATTATATAAAAAAGATAATTATATAAAAAAGTCCCACATATGAAAAAGACAATCTCTAACCCAACTCAAGGTACCCCATAGCAGAATCTTAAAATTATAAAAAATAAATATTTTCTTAATGTTTCCTTAAATATGCTAAGTCAGATCCAGATATATCTTACCCAAAAGTTTGGTTTTTTTCAGTCCACTCTAGCATCATTGATGCTTAATCTAGTATCATGAACTTCACTTTATTTCTTACTCTCTCTCTCTCCCCCATTAATTACATCATCTTTCAAAACATGACAATGATTTTGGGGTGTTGCTGCTCTCTCTCAAAACACATCATTTCCAGTCACACATCTGGGATAATTACCACAGTAGGCAAGCATTCAAAGTGTTTCTCCTTGATCTCAATTTCCTGAACCAATTAGCTAGAGCTCTTCGCTAAATGTCTGAGCAGTTCCTGAATTACTATTCATCAGTTCTGACTTTCTCAGTCCTTCTTTAAGCACTTCAGTATCCATTTATTTATTTAATGAATTCTTTATTTCACATCCAAACGTCACCACACAGATGAGAAACAATCCTTGCTACTATTTCATCCAAGAACAGCAGTTCCCTAACAGCCAAACCCCTCTTTCAGCACTCACTCCTGCCAAGTGTTTGCAGCCTGAGGTGCTGATGGCAAGCAAGGGAGGTGGGGCTGGGTGTGTCTCCTTCATGCATGCATATGGTCAGCACCTGGACATCTTCAAGAGTTCCCAAGGGAATGGAGGCCACAGCTCATCTTCTCCATCAGCCCACACTCAACCTTATGTTTGCCAGTAATTTTGCTAGTGCACTGTCACAACATGACTGCATAGTGGCAAACTCCTTCCACCAGCATTCTTCCTAATTTCAGGTTTGCATCTTCTATCCTTGCTACACAAGTCATTTTTCAGGACTGTATTGCACAGAGAATGGTACACTTCTGTCTGAGAGTTCCATGACTTCTGTGTACCAGCATATGTGGTCTGTCAGTTCTACAAGTCCTGCCCTACTAAGTGCACTGGCCAGTTCAAGGCATCAGCACACACAGCTAGTATTCCTAAGGAAAGGTTTTCTCTTATTGCAATCCCATAGATATCATCTCACATCTTCTCCATTTCTTGAGCCTTGCTACTATTATTTTCCTTATTTTCAATTTACTTTCTGATTTTTCCTTTCCACTTAATCTTATGACTGCTTTGCTTTCTCCCCAAAGAAGTGAGATCAGTGTTCTTTAGCTTATACTTACTGTTTTATTTTTAGACTTCTTATTTTGCTCTTCATTTTTGAGGGGTATAATGGGAGGGGCCAGATCAAAGTGGAGAATAAGGAAGAGACAGACAAATGAATAAGTTTCCTGCCAATATAAACTGCACTAATATAGTACATCAGTTAAGCGTTTTTAATGGCAGATGAAGACACAGGAACACGGTTCATTTTCTATTAACTTAGTAACCTTCCAAGTGAAAGCAATCTCAATACAATGAAATTCATTGATGTGCATCTTCTGCTGAGCCTACAATAGCAAGCACTGATTACATTTTTCTGCACTCAAGTGGAACCACCATACCAAGACTTACCCGATTTCTACCTAAGCTATTGAAAAAAATTCTCAATGTTGTTATTTAAATACATACTGTATTAGTAAAAAATTATTTAATTATTTTTATGCGCTACATCCTATTAAAAATAAGTTAAACCAGAAAGGACATGAAAAGATCCTCAAAGCTTTATGATACTGTGTCGCATCATCTGAAATGCTAAGATTGATTACTCAAGTCTGTGCCTTTTACAGACACACTTGAAATTCTGCAGAAGATTGTAGTTCTCCTCAGGTTCAGATTACTTGCATATAATTAGACTTTTTATTAATTTCAGCTGATCTTTACAGGTGCAAAGACTGTGCAAGTCTTTTGAATGCCTTTTTTCCTTTGGCTTTGTTATTGCAGCCTTCCATTCAAGCTTAAGGGCTTTTAAAATTCCTTCTTGTAATACTGCCTGGCTGGCAGCTAAACGCCACACAGCTGCTCGCTCACCCTCCACTGCCCCAGCGGGATGTGGGATAGAACAGGAAGAGCAAAAGGAAAGAACTCATGAGTCAAGTTTCAGCAGCAAAGAAGAAGGAAGAAGAAGTAAAACAAATCAAGTGATGAGAAGGCAATCACTTCCCACCTCCCACAAGCAGCCCAATGCCCAGACAGCCTTTGAGCAGTGGGTATCTTCCCAAAAGCCCCTCCCCCAGTTTTCATTGCCAAGCATAACACATTTTATGTCACAGAGTCAGTTTGGGCCAGCTGTCCTGGTTGTGTTCCCTCTTCACATTTTGTGCACACTCCCAGTTGTCAAGATTCAAAAAAATTTCTAACCATAAAGGTGGAAAAAGGGGAAAATGCAGTATTTATCCACAAACAGGCTGATGCAATAGAGCAGCTAACTAAACAGGAAGACTTCACATTATATTTGAACATATTTACAAAAAAAAGGAAAATCCATATTCCCAGATGCAAACAAAACCTCTTAGAACAAGAGTGTTAGGCAGAGATCTGAGGTCTATCAAGCATGAAACAAGAGTCAAAATTCTTTTCATTAAGGCCTTTATAACATGTTTTTTGTCAAGCAATTATGAATAAAAGCATTAATTCTGCTTTCTTATCATGCATTGTCCACATGCTTTGCAGTGAGAGAAAAACTAAGTTGTCAAGAGTGGAAAGGACGGTCTTGCACAAAGAGCTATACATATAGAACAAGAACACATTATTAGCTTCTCTATTGGTGGGTTCCTCCCCCTGCAGCACTATGTGGTGTTACAGTCATGCTGGCATGTAGACCTAACATAGCAGCAGGCTAAAAAGAATATTCTTGAAAATCACAAGGCCCCTTGATGTTGTTCACTAACTCTGAAGTAAATACACAACAAATAATGTTTGTATATATGTCATATCTATTCATAGTATTAATCAAGAGGCAGCTGCCTTTGAAGGTGAAGGTTTGTAACAAAAAGAATAAATGCTTCACTTTCAGGACTGACCTACTATGGATGGCATAGCAGAGAAGAAAGAAGACACTCCCATATTTACAGAAAACAGTCCTCTAAAACAAGTTATTAGTAAAATAAAAGCATTTTTGGATTATAACCTACTGGGCAGGAACCAGTGTGGTGGGGCTTTTTGATAGCTTTTCTTTTGCTGTTGTTTCATCTGTGTGCATGTTGTTTGGGGTTTTTCAAATACTTCCCACATAAATTACCAAGATATCATTCCATCTGCTGTTAAAAAGAAATTAAAGAGTATTTTCAGCTGCTTTCTAACATCACCAATAAAGTATCTGAATGCCTTCTGAGACTGAGAGCCAAATGTAGTTTACTAGAGATACGACGTTCTGAGTAATAAATGTAGGATTGCATCTCTAAGCACTTCATTTGCAAGTAAGATTCTAATTTGGCCAATAATGGCTGCATATACAACTTTTGGGAACAAAAACTCCAAAACATTTTGTTGAATGGTAAGAAGGGTTTAGAATATTAATTTTGAAGTTCAATCTTCTTAACAGCTCTACAGTAAATGACCAAAAATTTAGAAAGAAACTCCCAAAATACTACCATTAGTTGTTAAAAAAAAAAATTAGAAAAAGACAGCTCAGAGGACTACAGCTTTGACAGGGCAAAGTGCATGCAATATGGCTACATAACCACACAGTTACACACATCTAAGAGTCCACAGAGTGATCCTCAAAGTTGAGGAAGTTACTGAAGGATGGAGCTATTTTGACTTGTATATTTTCAATTCTATTCAAACTGAGTCATTCAACTTCCTCAAAAGATAGAGAAATACTCTTGTCTACTAATTTCATTTTCCTTTGTACAACACAATCAGGGCATGGGGAGAGAGTTACATCAAATCATGTGACTAAATTGGATTACAAGCTGCCAAAAAAAGAAGGCTCCTTTCAAAAGCATCTAGCTCTCTTAACATTATCACATTTTATGGAACACAGTCTACTTACTTTACTGTATCATATACTGTTGTCATATTACAAAATTTATTTCATCTTCTATCCTTGCATTCTGCATTTGACTTATACTAAGAAAATGTGATTCTCTGTACTTAAGCAGTAACTGCATGATTGACAGCAATACATTTAAACTATTTTTTTCCCCCTAAGGACACAAAAAATTCTTCAAAACTACTGCTCTCCCAGCATCTGGGGAATTTATTTTTCAAAAGGAATGCATGAAGCTGGTGCATTAAGTTCACAATTTGAGGAGCTGCACATGGAAGGTATTACCTGTAACATCAGCTCACAGTCATCTCTTCCAACAAAAATCATTTCTCGTGGCAGCCTATGTCGGGTGCCTCCACTGCTCACCAAAAACCAGGATGTTAAGCTCATTTTCTGCTTAGCTGATAAATCCTTGGCAAAGCTACGTCATCCTGCAGTGAGAAAGAAAGAGAGACAGAGAAATTCATTTTAGTTATTTTTAGCTACAGTTTCTGCTCAGCCAACACTGTGAGCAGAATACAAAAAGCCTCTGAAAATACAGCATTCTCAATAGCATGTACTGAATCCAACAACCACAGGAAGCGACAGGCTTCAGATTTACATACTCTTGGGCTATTCCTCATGCAACCAGGCAGATTTAACTGGTAACCCGCAAAAGGAGCAAGCAGCTAGCTAATGCCAAAGTTGTCAAGTTGTCAGAAAGCTTTTAGCATTTGACCACTTATTATCAAGATAATTAGTACAATAATGCTTCACTAGCACAACCAATAAATAAACAATGTAGCAAACATTCACAAAATATGGCAAGTAATTTGAACTGTCATTACATTTTCCTGTGAAAAAGAATTACCTTGTCTGATTTTAAGCTCAAGTCCTCTGTACAGCACCAAATCAAAGGAGCTATAAGTTAATGGAACTTTTGCTTCTTAATCTTAGCTTTTCATGATAAAACATGTATATTGGAAATTTAACAGTGTGCATTTAATATTGCAAACAAAGCAGAGCAAAATGAAAAAATTGAAAGTTATCTGTAAGTATTAAATCCAAAAGAAGTATTCCTACAGAACTTTACCTTTATCAATAAAAGGTTCAACATATTCCATAAAACAGAAGAAAAAAACCCATAGCTATTTAAAGTATCATAAAACTGGATAAAATTATTCACAGAAAACTTCTTCACATAATATGACTCGAAATTGGACAAAAATATGGCTAAATTTCTCTGCAGAGGAATTCAATGGCTAACAGTTGAAAAAAGCTTTATGAGAATTCCAAATCTCTCTTAAAGAAAATGCAAGCCAAAGCAATTATTTCATTCATTCACAACTGCACTGTATTCATTAAAAGAGAAGCTAAAGAAAATCAAAAACAACCAGCCAACTTTTCTCTCTGTACCAAATAGCAGGCATTTCTCTTCACTTCTATTTATATGTCAATTAGTGAATTTCTGCAAGGTTAGCAAATGTACTGTAAGTAGACATAAGTCTGTAGTGGACTAGAGCATACTCTTGAATGATACCAAGAATTCAGTGAGGTCCTCCGAAGGAGGGCTAACATGGAAACACCAAATAAAATGACAATGCAAGCACTATGCCATCAGACAAACTACAATCAAGGAGACACCATAAATCACTAAACATATAAAGATAACAAAGCTTAAGTCAAAACTGCATGTGACATGACAAAGAAGATTTTTACAGAAGAGCTAGTCAAAAGCATCCCATTTCAGTGGCAGAATGCACCAGCAGAGCTCTCAATTGTTTAAAAAAATGTAATGCAATTCACATGGAGGAATTTAGAATGACTTCATGTGTTAAAGAGCTATTGAATAAAGAAGTAAATATGTTTTGCAGCAGTATTCTATAGCAATACTTACAATAAAATTATTTTTCCACAGCTGTATCACAACACATTCAAGTGAAAGTATGTACACTTAATGTTATCTGACTCAACAGAAGTAATACAGCATCTCTAATATATTTTTCCTAGAAACTAAAAAGATTTAAAAATACATCATGACATCTACATAATAACGTGCTGAAATAAAATTTAAAGTGATGTAGTTAGTTAAATATGTGTTTTAATAATTAAAATGGATTATTCAGCACCTTTGAAGGAACTTAATATTTTTATTTTCAATTTAATCTAGTTTAAAATTACAAGATAAACTGGGTCAATCAAATGACATTTTTCAGTTCCCTTTAAGAGAGAAAAAGGAAGTGTCACAAATGGCCAGCCCACATTAAAGCTTTTAACAAGTAAATTAACTGGATGTTTGACAGCAAGCATGCTGATCAGTATCAAAGCTCCTCATTCTGTTTATATTTTGCTACCTTTTAAAATATCCCATCTGTTTATCAAAATTACATTTGCACCATTTGGCCTTCCTGCTCCAATTGGAAATTCATATGAAATGAATTATATATATATGAAATATATCCAAGATGATATAGAAAAAATTAGAAAATTGGAAAAATTTCTTAGTAAGAACCAGGTTGTAGTTTACACAGGTACCCTGACTGTAAAAGAGAAAAACTATTTTTATTTACAAAACAGACAAGTAGGTCAGGAAAAAAACCAATGCTCCAAACTTCCTGCAAATGATAAAGCCTGACAACAAACAGATCAAATTAAGCTACCTGAAACAATTTTTAAAAATGTATTATACAAAGGACTCGCTGCCACACAGCTTGGCGGCACGTTTGTAGTTAAAAGTCCATCACCAGTTCTATCAAACTTAATAATGTTGTTCTTTTGAAACAGTTGTTGTCTCAACTGCAAGAAACCATCAACCTAGATACATATTTTATTTTAAAGTATTCTACAGAATAAACCAATGTCTTTGATCAGGGCTGTGCTGGAATCTGCATAGCAAAACTGGCTAAAAACAGGATCCAGCAGCAATAGTTGCTATATATCACAACAAAAAAAGTGCATTAAAAACTGGATATGGAACTGCACAATTATTAGTAATATAGACAGTATGTGGACACTTACACTGGACCCCAAAAACTTCATGAAAGCTTGCAATATTTTGAATACACTGCTGTCTCAAGTACTCTGGCTGTAGTTCTGAACAGTACAAGGATGAAAGACACTTCACTGCCTAGGAGATACCAAGTTAAATTACTATATGACAGGTGCAAAATCATCACAAGAAATGGCTCTTTACAGAGTGTAAATTTAGGTCATGATAATTCTTGCAATGAAATGTTATGGATACTAAAAGGTTACACAGGGTTCAAAAAGAAATTTTTTTCTTTCATGAATGGTTATTATCAATCCTGTTACATGCACTGACGCCACTTACAGCTCAGGAATTTTGAGGGGCTGGAAGGATGCTCTAGTGAGGTTTCACTGTCCTACCCCAACACCTCTCTTCTTTACCTAGCCTTTCTTCATCCATGACAGGATATCATCCCAGATGGACCTGGTAAAAGTATAATACAGACTATACTTTTCAGACAAAGTATTTACCAAAAATATTTCTACCCTAGAAAAAAAGAATTTTAAATGCTTTATTGAAGCATTTGGTTTTATTAGTATTTCTTAAAATGGCAGTATTTTGTTGGAGTCTTTAACCAAACTAGCAAACATTTCATCAAGACTATCATTCAAAGCTTCATTCCAGATACCTGCAAGTCAGTGGCTGAGACATCTATGGCAGCTGCAAAATATCTCTTTGTCTGCAGAAGAAACAGCATTTTACGGTGAAGGACTAAAACTTTCAAAAGGCAGTAACTAGCGTGTCGGAATGAATATGTGGGTAATAAGTCATTTGAAACAGATGATCCAGCAACAGGGAAATTGGCTGCATCATCTGTGTAAATATACTTCACTCCTAAGAACTAAGATCCTGTATTATGCAGCCAAAAGATGGGTGTAACCAGTTTCAAATGTCTAAAGAAACACTGCCAAGATTAGTTTTGATACAGACATGTTATTGCAAATAAAAATCCTTAATAATCTCAAATTTGAGCATTTTACAATCTACATTTTTGTACTTGCCTGTAACTGAAAACAGCTCCAGTTAAAGTTAGCTAACTGTAGGATTGAGGCAACAATCCTACAGAGAAACAAAAAGCCATGCTTAAAATTTAAATTAAGCCTAATATATGTCTGAAATTCCAACTTTTAAGTACTGTAGTCCTCCACATTAGGACTGAAAATAGTGTAATTTTAATGGTATACAATTATCCTATTACTGTACAACAAATTATACTTGTGAGTATTTTAAAGCAACATTAAAAAAAGCCCTGCACCAAACTGAGACACAGTACTGACAATGCCAGAAGCCCTGTTTTGCCCATTATTTGCCCTTACAAGTTCCTGTTTCCAGCTGCTAAAGTATTTGCTAAAATTAAGTTGACCTTCTCATAAAGTTGAATAGGAAATTTGGGGAAATTTCTGAAGAAATGACTGTAATATTTCTAAAACAAGGTTAGAGCAGAATATCCTATGTCACTACCTTTAAAAAAATATTAGCTGTACCTCATAAGTCCAAGTTGTTATTGAAATACGGAAGGAGGCCTGAGTATCAGTTTGTACCTTGTATTACTGCTCTTGTACAAACCCATCCAAATGGACAAAAGCAAGAGACCTTTGAAAACCTTCCTCGTGTATATTCATTCAACAAGGACAAGGATAAATTCTCTCAATACATCTGTCTACACAGAGGTACTTAAATAAATTTGTGGAGCATGCTGTTTTAATATTAGAGTACCAGTTAGAACCTAAAATAAGGCATCTTTTTCACAGACACAGAAGAGACCACCACACAAGACACTCGAACTGGACCTAGACAGATTCTGGAATCAGGACTCAAGAAAGGTAAAAGTCAGAAGTCAGCCATGACAAGGGATAAATCACAAATGAGAGCAGTGATAGAGCCAGTAATGACTGGAGAAGAGCTGAAGTTAAAGCTGGTAACTAAATCACAAAGAAATGCTTTCAGCAAACAACACCCACTGGAGAAGTACCTCCCATGACTCCGTTATTGACTAATTGATGTAATAAAAAATAGCAATGCCAGCAGTTCTAACTTTGACTGTAATGGAAAAATCTATGCCAAAGAAAGAAAAGACCAAACTGAAGGTAACTTCAACCCTGAGAAGATTATTGTGTCCATATAATTGATACTATAAAGAAATCTATAAAGATAATTGATTTAAACCTAGGAAGTTTTAAGTGGTAAACAGCACAGTAATATTGTCTACTCTGTATAACCCTCTGAAGTGGGGTAGTGTAGCAGACAAAGTGTTCCATGGGCAATCATAATTAACCTACTTACATACATGCATTAGAAAACAACCTTTAACTACATCACCACATATTTTAATCAGGACTCTACCGTACTCAGGTTAAAACAAAGAGCTTAACTGTCAGTTAATCAGTGTTCTTTTTCCTGTACTCATCATTTGATTAGCCTGTGCCTTATTTACTGCACATCACTAAAAACCTTTCCTGAATTATTAACTTCCTCCTGACTTCATCTGCCATGCTCAACACCACCACATGAGAAATTCATTAACACTTACAATAAAACCTCCACAAGTAGCTGTAGAGAGGATTTCATGTAAATGGGAAACTGTAGAGAGCTTTTTTTTTAACACTGAAACATCATAGTCTTGAATATTTAAGTTCCAAACTCCTCAGCATTTCATTTTAAAGTACTTAGTTTCACACAATATACTGGTTTTCAAATGGCCTCATTTATTTCTATCTCTGAACACCTGACTCTTTAGCAAAGTGAACTTAAAGCCCACACACAGGGTGGCTAGAAAATTTATGACCACTTTTCCAAAGTAAAGGAAATGGCTCATCTGCCATCATAGGGACTATAAAAACAGAAAAATAAGTCATGGTCTAGGATGGTTTCTGAATGTTTAGTCATGAAGCTCATGAAACTATCCCTGGTGCTTTCATAATTCTCTGATTCCTTCACTGCTCACATTGCTGTTGTCCCAAAAAGGGAGACAGAGGGCTGCACAGACAACAGCCTCCTGACTGAACCTATTCTTTCTCACCACAGTATTGTATAATGTTGCTCCTCAAAACTCTTAAATAAATAAACACCCATCTAAATTTATATGGCTTAGGCTAATGATCAATAAAAATATTTTTTAAAGTATTTATGGACCTTTTTTACACTCAAGTTTACTTCACAAGTGTTGGCCTTAAAGGTTAATCAGAATATTCCTTTAAAAGGCTGTTAAAATAAAAGGAAAAGGAAGCATAAATAAGGTAATTTATGATTGAAACCATTTAAATTCTTCATGAAAATGAGAAGATGAACTCATATACTTAGGAAAAATGACCAAAAATTTCTACATTTTCAGCAATTGAACAAGCTAGTATTATTATTTTCAAATACTTTGCTGACTGGAAAATTCACCTGAACACATTCCTCTTAGAAACATTCAAATGCTACATACAGCCCTGAACATGAAACTTTTTCCATTCTCATTCATATAAAGAAATACTGATATTAGTTGTAAATTTCATTAAAATGTTATAAAATTACTGGACAAGAGTAGAACTTGATGGCAAGCACACAAATAGGTAAAGTGGAAGAAAACAGGTAACTCAAGTGAAACAAGAGGGACTTACCCCTTCAATTTAACTTCCTTTTGCTCAAATGGGGAACGGGAATGAGATTAGGCTAACTGCCCTTATCACTAAACCAAAACATCTCATAAAAATCTCAGTCCTCCTTGGTCTGTTGGCTTCTCTCCTAAAATTACTAAGATGTAACTGACAGGGCTTGGAATGATACCCCTGAGTGTTCTGCTTCTGACCTGTTTCACCTCACCTCAAATATTTGAATTTGGCCACAATTTCTTGAAAAACAGATTTAAAAAACATACTGAAACCTTACACTATGTCTGAAAGATGTAATTTCCAGAGTGGACTGAAAGATGTAGCCATGACAAAATTTTGCAGTACAGGAGAAATACTGAGAGCAAAGAAACCTTAATCACTACTCTGCAATACACTCTTTTACCTTCTTTGCCCTCCATGCTTTCAATCTTGTGGTTGATGTTCTTCTACAGAGAGATGGAGGAGGAAAGAAGGTAAAATAAAAATATGTAAATCTTCTTGAATCTTATATCTGAAAAATACCCAGAGCTTTTGTTTATAGACAGAGAACATCTGCTACATCCACTACTATAAAAGAAAGATTTTTCTAAAAGCTATTTTAAGCTTAAGAAGAAAAAAAATAGATATAACTGACAGATGAGAAACAAAAAAAGAAAGCAAGAAACTGCCTTTATAAAGCATCAGGACATCAAGCTCAGTAATGCCCCTTATTTCTTTAATTAGTACACTCCTATATAGGTAGATATGCACATTACCTATACTGCCTACCATAAAAGAGTAAAACAACAAGAGTTACAGAGTTGTACCAAATCTATAAAGCAACAGTAGTGTATTTCTCAGGCAGTGTGTGACTAGGAGAGAAAGGAAAAGGGAGCAGGGGAGAAGGGGGAGGTGGGGAGACACACCTACAGCTTTACAATAGTGTGACAGGCTGGCCCTAGCCTAGATCGGCTGCAGACTCCCCAGCAGCATTGGAGGGAAGAAGCATTTCCTCCTCATATTTTAATAATAAAAAGAATTTTTTTTAAAATAGCCTTCCACCTGTGAATATTACTAAGCATCAAGAGAGATTTTCCTCCTGCATTGAAGGAGTTTGAGATCTCTACAGAAGGGACCCAAATACTCTTCTTGCCCTACAGGTCACCCCATGGATCTGACAGAATAAAGACAAGAAAGCAGCTCAAGAGGTTGTTGCCCTCTGTCAGGCAGTGAATCTGTCCTGTAACACTGCTGCATCTCTGGGACTGCGCAAGCATCCTCTGGTCCAGGTCAGAATTAGATCCATGTCTATTTTACTGCCATGACACACAGGAATAGTTGTCAGAACAGCAACTGAAATAGACTTCTTTTTCTGCCAACAGTGCAGCTGCAGTCGAAGTTGCTTTGGAGTTTTGATTGTGAGGGACAGTGACTTAAAGACCTTATCCTACTCTGTTTTTTATATAATAATGACTAAAAAAATGAATCCTGAGATCACGCAGTTTGCTATTACACCAGTATCAACATACAAATACTGCAAAGGGCTGTTTGAAACATAAGGCTTACCTGATGGCTATCAGTCATTTGAGTGTCACAGTATGCAAAAAGATCCTGTCCAGTGACAATTACCTGCTGCTATTATTTCATGCAGGTTCCAGTCATATAGCCAGGAGCAAACTGAATACCAAGGATTACAGAGCAGTGATAAAGCACTCCGGAACACAGGCAGTTTTCACATCAATCTTCTCAGTTAAAGGGAAGGGTTTGAAAGGGCCAGTCGAATCTGGAGAATCAATAAATGGTTACAGGACAGTGCCACACACAGAGGTTTGGC